TATTACAATAGAATTCTCGTGGATTTGGGAAATTTTTCATGGATTTCTTTACTAGACTTACTCGTTTTTTGGAACTTTGAAAGACGTTTTAGTAATTTGTAGGCTGTTTTGTATATGACAATGACTGCAGCCTACAGTAAAAGTGCACGCGCGAGATATCAGAATAACAGTATTTTTAAGTAAGCCCCCTTGATGAGTGTGTACGCTCTTGGGGCATGCAAACTCATTCTCATCAGAAATATGTTTAAATAAAGTAGCTAATATATTATATGTATTGCTAGAAGTTCCCAAAACATTCATTTGTCATTGAAAACGTTAACAACCAACAAGCAGGATGATGTCATATAAATATAGAGCACGAGGCAAAACGTCCATGTTCCTTCGATCAACGGCAGTAAATAAATATTGTATTTAATATATTAAATTAAGGACTGTGTTACTGTTGAAGTTATAACATGAACGTTTTGCCTAGTGGCTAGTGCTTTATATATACGACACCAGCTTGTTGATTTGGTTGTCAACGTTTTCAATGACAAATGAATGTTTTGGGAATTTATAGCAATACATATAATTTATTAGCTACTTAATAATACTGTTATTCTGAGATCTCGCGCGTGCACTTTTACTGTAGGCTGCAGACATTGTCATATACAAAACAGCCTCTAAAATACTAAAACGTCTTTCAAAGTTCCAAAAAGCGAGTAAGTCTAGTAAAGAAATCCATGAAAAATTTCCCACAAATCCACGAGAATTCGTATTGTATATAATAAATACGGATGAACTTTATAATTCCTCTAAATTCTTACATGGCGCCGTTTCATACAATTGCAAGTCAAATAACCATATGCAAACATATTATTCAAATAACAAAAAAGATAGCAATGTTAAATATTGGTTATTGTTCAACTAAATTTAGAATAGAGTCACAGGTACATAGTACGGCAGAATATTGAAAACGAAACTGAAATATAGTACATGCGGCAAAAGCCTCGAGCAAAACTTCGTTTGCACGTTTACAAACAAGCAATACTCATGCATTTGATATTCTGTACCACCCGACATAATATATTTATCCTTGCCCATGAGAAAAATTATTTAAAAAAACATCAATACAAGTAAAAAGTAAAGATCGTAACCATCTATCACCCCGAATTTAATGCGAAACACGTGAATTTATAGAGAAACACGTGCGTTGCTTCATAGCTCGTATTCCAGCGTGTTCCGGGTGGGGTTCCGGGTAGGGTTCCAGGTGTTCCGGGTAGGGTTCCGGGAGGGGTTCCGGGTGTTCCGGGTGGGGTTCCGGCTTTTACAAACACCCCGCAGCCGCGGCAGACAACATCTTTCTGCTTGCGCTGGGTATGGAAATTATATATATAAATATATATATATATATATATATATATATATATATATATATATATATATATATATATATATATATATATATATATATATATATATATATAATTTAATTTAATTTAATTTGTTAACTTAAAATATAGTCACAACTCTGAGTTTCACGCTCAATGCGATCTTCAGGCGACAATGTTTAAATCTCGATAAAAAAATTCCTATATGAATACGTGCGAGTTCGTTAGGCTACTTGCGTGATAGTTTTGCGTACGCATGTTCAAATTTCCCCCCCAAGAATTGGTTCCGGTGGCAACACTTCGAGAATAGCTCACATCTCCTGTTCAGCAATCTTTTCTTATCACCTTTCAAAATTTCGAGTTTCTTTTGGAGGCATAGGTTGCAACTTTTCGCGATAACACTGATTCATTTTGAATTTTCCCGGTTATGTCGTTCTAAAATTACCATCCTAACCTATACCAAACATACATATAGCCTACGTTTACTTATCAAGCTTCGCTTTTTAGGTCGGTAAAATGAATACTGCGTTTAAAGAGAAATCGTCAGATTCTTGTGAGGAGTATTTTACAAAATTGAAAGATATCAATATTACAACTGTGGACAGTTTTCAGGCAAGTAGAATGTTCGAATATTCTTTGTGCATCGTACGCGAGAAATAGACGGGAGACATAAACGGCAAGCGAAGAAGTAAATTTCGGGAAACATGTGCGCATTATATATATTGTATTGTTTATATGTACTATTCAGTATTTATTATAAGTAAACGCATGCTTTGAGGGAAATTAGTGATTAAATGACCCCGCACACCGAGAGAGGTTTAGTAAAACGCCCGTAAACCTCCCAAGGTTTTTAGGGGTCATTTAATCACTAATTTCCCTGAAAGCGTGCGTTTAGTTTGTAATTACATGGTAGCCGAGGGAATCATGCGTGTTGCGTTGGTCTCTTTTGAATGCTGTTTGATTGTGGGATGAACACTTTTCATATATACGCACGCGCAGAAACCCATCTCCGTGTTCATTCTTTTTAGACATGCGCATAAACGGAATTTTCTCCCACAATTGAAATGTTCAAGATTGTGGAATAAAAACTGGCAAAGTGATTGTTAGTATGTGTACGGGACGGTGTCGTCAGACACTGCATGTCCATAGTTGTGCCGATGATTTTCGATGAGGTACAGCTCTCCATTGGGGTAATGAGGTACACTTTTGTCTAAATTTCCCTCATCAAGCATGCAGGGCAAAATTAGAAGACAAAGAAATAATTTCCCAGGGAAATTTAGAAGACAAAAGCGTATGCATGGGTAATGAGGGAAATACGTGATTAAACGCCCCTGTTGAAACAAAAGAAGCTTTATCACTTCACTAATTCACTACTTGATGTTATATTTTATGGCTCCGCGGTTTGCCACCAAAAAGCATAGCGGACAAGGGCTGTCGCGTGGAGCATGCATGGCGAGCATGAGTCTGTCACCCGCAAGATTGCTGTATAAATGGAGTAAAAAAACATTAAAATCTTGATAGCAGTACTTGGCAATTTAGAAGAAAAATTTTCTATATGATAAATAACTGTTTCCAACGCAATTTTTCCGAAACAACGTGCAGTTCGTAATTATTTTGTCATTACAGAAAAATAGTTCACGAAGAAAAAACGTCACGTTGAAGTTCATGCAGTAACCGTAAATTTTGTTCGTACTTTTTTGAAAGCCATCAGAAAGAATTAAATACATTATTTATACAGCATGATACATAGCACAACATGAGAATACCTCCTCACGTACAGGAAATGCCAGAGTATAGATTCATTAGGCTCATTCAATTTTTACAGCTTTAGATTAACTGCATTCAACATCTAGCAAAAGCCTAAATTTCTCAGTGTATTCCCAACCCCGACGGGGACAGACACAAAACCACTTACAAGAATAGCGATAAATGCTCTCTGGATTCACATGCAGATAATTATAAATTCGGAAATAATTCAACTGGGTATTTTCTCGGAGGTTATCATCTTCACCCAGTAAGATCGTCGCCATTACTGGAATCGGACAAACAATTTGAATGTTGCCTTGTGTCCAACATGACATTTTTATAAAGTACTGGAATAATTTTGAATATTCCTGTATTTACATGTATAGCTTACAAACAATAGTTAAAATAGTCAAAATCTGCAGTTTAGAAAGCCTATATTGTCTAAAATATTCGGTGGATCAACCTCCAATTTTCGTTAGCCTATTAGCTACACCACCATGATTTATGCATGAAACGATATTTAAAAATACCATGTCAGCTGGAGCAAATAGAAAATATGTGCACATCGAAAGTATGTTAGAACATGGTTGGAAACTTAACTTTTGATATATCTAAACATTTTGAGGTAAACCAAGTGCTTCTTGTTGGTAAACATCTTAGCGTTTTGAAGTCGAGTAAAATTAATGGTAAAAAACGTTAATTTAGAAGATCAAGGTTGTTTCAGTTTAAATTTCATGTTATTTATATGAACACGTTTTAGGGAGAGGAAAACAAAGTGATTCTGCTATCACTGGTTCGAAGCAATAACAAAGATAAGATCGGTTTCTTTGCAAAGAAAAACCGGATATGCGTCGCAATTTCAAGAGCTCAATGTGCCCTGTATATATTTGGAAATAGCAGCGTTTATTCTTCTTCACAAAATTGGAAGGTCAGGTTTATATATTTTCTTTCTCGTTTAAGAGTCAAATTTTACATCACAGAGACCGGTTGTTCGAAAACCGCACGGTTAGCTTAATCTTGGGTTGACTATAAACTTCAAAGCAAACTTTTCGAAAAGTGTTTATTAACTTGAGAAGTCTCTTTCGATTAATGGAACTTTTGGTTACTGAAATCTGAAAAGAACAGACGTGCAAAATTACACATAAGCAGTGCGTTACCTAAGGTGTACGCTGATAATTTTTTAGTAACCTGGCAGGAGGTGGTGTGAGGTGGAGTGAAATGGTGTGCGTTATATTCAATAATGCCTGTTTATTTGATAAGCAGGGGTGTGGTGACATAATAAAGTTATTAATATCGAAGGCGCTTTTATGTTGGGCATGTTTCGATAGACATAGATGGGCAGTTCATTGTTTTGGATGTGTTAATGACCCCTTTGCACTTTAGCTAACAACGATCTGTTGACTGCACTGCAAATATAAATTTGATCGACAGTGATCCATCCTAATAAGTAGAATTCGTAGAACCAATAACAAATGTTAAGCAAGAGTCAAAGACAGAAATGTTCTTATAAGCTACTTAACTTTTCTACCATGAGTCACTCGCACCACACCACCTTACATCACTTCACTTTACCTCACACTACCACATTACTACATACCACATCTTAAACTAATACATACCACATCATTCCATTTCAATGCCCCTCACTCCACCTCACTTCTCACACAACAGCTCATCCCTACAACTTCCTTAACTTCAATTCACTTTACTCAACCTTAATCTTCCCACACTAGACAACACTTCATTCTTCCATATTCCACTAAATTTCTGCCTCACTTCTTCCAAATTACTTCACTCCACATAACACCACTTCACGTCACCTGGAGTAATAAAGCTAAAGTAAGTCCAGTTATTAGAAGCCAAATCGATCCAAATTTTGTCCTTGTTTTATCGGGTTTACTTCATTCTAGAAATAATTAAGCGTTTACCAACCAAGATGCCACGTAACAGACAAACTGGAAGAAACGGTCTCTACCGTAAAACATCAGTACAGGTGCTCGGTTTGATATCTTACGGTGAAGTCCTCATTAAATAGTAATTATATACTGCATGAGTTTGAGGATTGACACTTATTGACCGAGGGAAATATGTTGTTTTCCGAAAATCCCAGTCAAAAAATATTTTATTATATATACTGTAGCGATCTAGGTATGCAAGGGAAAACAAAACAAAAAACGAGAAAGAAACGATAAAGCGTCATATATTTTCTTATTACCTGAACGATTTTATGTTTCACTGGTTAATGGCAGTATCGTCCACCAATCAGACTTTTTGTCCAATTCGATGCAACCCAACATGACCTTTGACACTTGGTATATACTGTAATTACTTTAATGTAGGGCGTAGCATCGCAAAAAAACAAGAAAAACAGATACGGAATTGACTAAGAAACTGACTATAACTAATTATATCCCTTCTTCCTGTTTCAATGTGTAGAAAATTATAAATTTATTGGAGGAGAAACGCTTGGTTAGTGGGAAGTTTCCATTCAAAGAAGAGTCTGATGGGGTGAGATAAATGAAAAATTAATTTTTTGTGCTGAAAAGCACCTTTTAGTTTGTTTAAATTATTTTTAATTTTGTTCACATGTTTTTTAACATGGCGGCTCCAGGGAGAACCTTACTACTGATGGAGTCACTTTGGTGAAATAAAGATTAGTAAGCTTTACTTACAAACAAACAAACAGAAAACCAAACAAGCAAACAAATAGACAATTTACCACTTTTAAACTGTTCAAAACGCTTAGCCTTAGACAAAATTTTCTGTGCATACAATCTTCATTGTTTGAGCGAAACTATAATTTGTAATTACAGGTAGACTTGAAAAACAGTTTCTTCAATTTAAACTTATAAAAAATAACTGTTAGAAAGATCTGGAAATTAGTGATCTGTGAACAGGCAGTAAAATATGAAATAAAATAAACAAAGGCCAACAGACAGCTAATGGATTGGCTGGCTATTAATAAAAAGTACTTACATTGGATCACTTTCATACTATTGTTTCCTGCACTCAAGCAAATTCGGGAAGTATTCGTTTTGTTGCGCGTAAGGATATTTTTGGGAGCGCTGGAGGCAAATGTAACAATAGGTCGTGGGTAGAATATTTACATAGGTTACATAGATGTGCACCCGCTCTTCTCGTGTAATGTAAAGCTTATATGTAAAGCTTCCATGTGCTTCTAAGGTTTAATGTATATCTGTGGATTTCCTGCCTATATAACCAATTCTAAGTTTTTCGGCACATGTATTATGAGTATCTGAGGTAATTAAGAAATCACATCCTGTGTAAAAGACATAAAATATATAGAGGATATTACACGGAGGCGCGAAGATATGACTTTTTATCTTCGAGTGGTGAAAATAATATTTTACGAACGAGCGCAGCGAGTGAGTAAAGTATTGTTTTTAATACGAGAAGATAAAAGTCATATCTTTCAAGCCAACGTGTAATGTTCTGTTTATTATATAGTCCCAAGCAAAAAATTGTATAAACATTAAAAGTCATGTGATCGATATCTTCACTAGTGAAGATATGGAAAGTATGTCACTGTGTATTTCTCAGTATCTCACTCTCTACTATATAATAAAAATAAGTAATTAATGTGCGTTTCTGTTTTAGATTGACGCGGCAAAAGGTAAGGGATGATGGGCCTGTCGAACATTTTTAAGTGTTGTTAGCTTTGTAGCCCTTTCCAGTATGTTCTCATATATTGCTATTATGCAATTTAGATGAAGTTTGTGACACAACGAAACTATCTCATCGGGAACTTACTCGATTGTCTCTAAAGATTGTCGGGAAATATAATGAAATTGCGGGATTGGCTAACCTAGAAAAATGTAAAGTAGAAAACGTGAATCTGGATCCCTTTAACTATCCAGAGCCAAAGGACAAGGCCAAAAAAGTTTTAATTATGATCAGCGACCAAACCAACTTCAGCCGTAAAGGACTGGGTAATTATTTAAAAGAAGTAGGATTACACGACCTGGTGGATGAAGTGGTACAGGGAACATTAAGGTATAATTGTCCTGATGATGCTGGTTCGCCAAATGAAACTAACGAAAGTTAGATTGTATGCATGTAAACGAGTAGATGAGTAACGAATACTTTTTGAATTTGTTGGTGTTATGTACTAAGGTGAATATGATGTTTGTGGTGTTATTCTGAGTGTGCATCTACACCAGCAAGCAGGAAAGCTTGCCTGATCACGGTGAGAATCGAATATACCTCTGAGTATATGTACCCTCGTCTAAACATTAATAACTTATCCTGGACTCATTCATGCACATCCATCAAAAGAAGAAAATCGCACCTAAAATCGCAGCAAAAATTTCAAGTGTAAACGAGCCTTAATGCTGTCGTTACTAGAAATTGGCGACAAAATGGTCACAGCTTGTACACTAATTTGCATATTATCCCTTTACAAAGGCCTTCAATTTTCGACGGGGAATGTTACAGAGTGAAAATATTTATCTCGAAACTATGGCAATCCGAAAGCTTGGCTAGTGTTTGCTGACCTCGTGTTCACTGAAGTAGTCATTTACTAAAGTTTTGGTGGCATATTTATTCAGGTCGGGTATTATTCCGAGCGCCAAATCGTGTTCAAAAACATCAACTTTTATGTCAACTTTTTATGACTGGTTAAACTGCTGAGGGATTACGTTTTGAGATTTTTAACTCTGTTTGAGTTAATTTATGGAGAAATCCATAAGGTAGACCTTGAGCAATACTGCTTGATGTTTTACTCCCCGATTTAGTGACTTGTATAAAAAATGGTTGTTTTTACACTGTGCTGTTAGTAGAGCCCAAGCGTAGATTAGAGTGTAGGCAACGAATTATTATTTGGCCGCTCGTGGAGATATCCTCTCTGATTGAACGTGCCTCAAACCTTATCAAAATGATTGTTTTATTCATCGCGATGTCGGCGAACAGTAGTATACTGTCTGGTTGCCAATTGAAATATTTTCACCCTATATTTTCTCTGTTAAAAATGGAAGGCCACTGCATGTGAATCATATTATATGCAAATTGGCATAGAAGCGATTACCATTTTGTCGCTTATTTCTGGTAACAGACTGATTTAGGAAACACGACGCGAACTGAAGATAAAGAAATTCTTTATGCAAAACAAAAAGTTTGAATAATTTATGATCCCAGGCGTATCCTCAACAGCAACATAGCCGTTTGTAAGATTATTTAAAAAGCTTTCATTTATAAACAGTAATCAAGGTCCTTAGCTCTCAATCTTGAGCTGAAATTAGCCCGCCTCGTCGTGTTTGCCTCTTCGTCTTCCCTAAATCTGTCTAATGAGTGACTTCTACGTCGGGATTAATTAAGAGACAATATTGAGGCTCAATAAAGAGGACAATTTTAATTTGTTAAATAAGTTATAACCTATACTTACAATATATTAAATTTTAGGTATAGTCACAGGTGCATTTGTATGTTCTCTGGCAAAGAACTGGGGTATTAAGAGGCAATTTTTTTCAATGTCACGTATTTGCGATGAAAAGTGTTCAAAACGTAAAATCTTTTAGGCGTTCCTTTCAAAATTACTTTGTTTTAGTTTTATTTTGTAGTTTAGACAGTTAGCAACCTTTTTAAATGTATCTGGCAGTCGAGGAACACAAATAATAGTTAAATATTGTCAATTTAAATACAATTAGGACTATCGTTGATGCTGTAAATTTGACGCCATATTTATACAGCAATGTAAGCAAAACTTACCGAACATCAGACATAATTTTCTCTTTGGTGTACAATCGAAAATGTCTTCATTTTATAATTATTTTACATGTAAAGCACTAAACATACTTTTTAAGTTTGTATTGCGATTGGGAAACGTATCAAAATATAAAATTTTTTAATGTAGTCATAACGGCAAGTGGTACACTATACTGACATTAGTTTTGAGCGCGTGTTACGTAATATACAAGAAAATCTCCTCTTAATAAACAGTCTTATTATATGGACAATGGTGTTTCATCGCAAACTAAAACACTCGTAGAACAACAGGTAGGAAATTTGTCGTCGCTGACCAAAAAATCGCGGGCAGAAACAAAGCTCATTGCATTTTACATTCAAAACAAAGCAGAAAGTTAGCAAGAAGCTGTTTTAGCTGACGATTTTTTGCTTTCCATTCAACGATTTACAAATTAACGGTTATTCTTTTAAAAGTCGACTATGAATTCTTTGTTTTGGGATGATTTGTTTTGTAATCGAGTGATTGGAAGAAGTTAATATGGCGACGTGAACATGGGAGTAAATACCGTATACGTCGATCTGTGCGAGGATCTGTGGCTTGTTTAAAACCGTAATAAACGAAGAAAGACGTGATATGAGAATGAAATGTAAGTTGAAATTAACTTTATATGCCTCAAATTTTCCATCCTATGTTTCTTAATGTAACTTCAGCTGTCTAAGTTCAAAATACAAGCTCGCGAAATTTGACAAATTTTGAAAATATGTAAAAATAGCTTGACTTTGAACTGTATTTTCTCAAAAATAGCCCGTGGCTTCAATTTCAAATATAGCTAAATGAAAAGAAAAAACTTTTCGGCGTTTGTGGGTATCAAACAAATCGTCAGGAAAATAGGGGCTCACAATGTTTTAGCTGAGTCTTTGAGACCCAGTTGCTTCGCACGTGCTGTGGTCAAATTTTTCCAAGAATCAAAGGCCGAAATGTGAACTTCCTTCATGAAAACCGGTTCGAGAAGGGTCTAGTTTGAAAATTTAGCTATTAATTTCGATTTCATGAGCATATTTTGGTTACACGTTAAATATTTTTGTACTTGATGAGATTCAAAATTTGTTGTATATTCAAGCCCGGCTTTAGTGTAATTTTTGTGATGACCGGAACAGAAATAAAGATATTTTAAAAACTGGCCGTGGCCTCACGATAAAACTTTCTGAAAATGTTCTCTGTTTCATGTATTTTTATTTGATATCTTAGGTATAAGCGTAAAAATAGGGGCTCGTACAGTTTACGAGGTTGTAAAATGCATGACTTGCCTCTATTTTCATGTAAACATTCGAAATTTTTCGACAGCAAAGTAGCAACTGTTTCAGATCGAATGCACACGGACAGCCCACCAGAGACAATGGCAGGGTACTGAAATAGAACGTCACTAAAAAATTCTGTATGATTAATTTAGATCATGTCCATTTTCAACATAAAACAGTCATTTATTTTGTACAAACATTTGGCAATATTTTACACGATTGTGCCTTTTTGTAAACACGCGTTCCGTGTATTCCACTCAATTGCGTGACTCATCTTGCTCGCGCATGCTCAGACAAATTTCCCACCTGTTTCGTAGAACTCATACTGTACGTCACTACATCCGGGACCAGCTGCACGTATTTTCCGTATTTCACCACTGCGAGTGACATACGAAGTTCGAAAATTTCCCGCCATTTTCACTGTTGTTGTATTGAAAATACAAATGGTCTTTGGTTCGTATATAAAACGAAATTAACGTTGGAAATAATACGAAAACATTTAAAAGACATCTTGAGATAAGTAAAATTTATTCTAGTTTTATGTTTGCACTATCATTTAAAAAAATATCGTTTTTATGATAGTCTTTCGCGTGCTTATTTACTTGTCATCTTTGTGTGTATTTTTGTCACTCTCAGCTAGTAGTCTAGGACCTGTATATGAGTTTGTATGTAATCCATTTAGGACAGATAATCTCAACTGTTTTAGGGCAAGTTGACCATGACGGTCAACATGGTAACGCTGCCCGAACCCCAATTCGGGGCGAAACGTCCGAAACTGACCACACCCAAAAACGACGCTTTCGCCATACTGCTATCTACCAAACCATAAAAGCTTTGGCTCTTCTGAGGTGTTTATATGGTTCAGAGATGGTACTTTTGGGGGTGGTCATTGGTAAGTGTGAAATGCCTAGCACTAACATTTCACAAGAAAATGACCATGCAATAATCGTAGTTAAACGTCAATTTGTGGCTTGCAACTTCAGATAAACAGCAGTGGACTTACATTACCTTTTTCCCTAAATCTTTTTGATAGAAACATAACTGGTACTGATTTAAATATATTATCGCTGGTTTGGTGTAAAATAGTTATATTTTCTGACCGAAATAATAATTTGAAATGTGCCTACCTCCTGCAAATGGACGTATTTGGCCAAGTTCTCCACTTTACTCCGCTGTTTATCGGCGATCTCGTCGACATCCTTCCAAAAATGTATATCATCTCAGACATAATGGTATCAAGAACATTTTAAACAAGTTTCAACTTGGTTTCAAGTAGATCATAGCTGTTTAACCATGGACAAGGTAAATCCACAAATTTGTCCAAATTCGGCGCCATTTTGTCATCCCGTGTCGGTTGTCAACAATTCGGCCTTGTTACTCTTCCATCCAAGCCATTTCCATTCCAGTAATAATAAATTTAACCCTTTATAACGGTAGGAAACTAAAAAATCTAAACAAAATATAAGAAATGCGGCATTTTATCACCCTGTGAAATTTTGCTCACGAGTCTTTCAAAACATTCCGTACAAATCTCGCGTGACAAAGTAACAGGGACGTGACAGGGGGGGGTGAATTATTTCACGAAGATAGAAGAAGGCTGCGTGAAATAGACTAAAAGCTAAATACAATCATACAAACGTTTGTTTTATTTCTTGTAGCGACAAATATATACATATTATTATTTATTAATATGAACAAGTCATACAAATTAAATGTTGATTGTTGGTTTTACCATACTGTGTGGGCTTTGCTTTCATTTTTCAAGTCTCTACCCCCCCTGTCACGTCCCTGTTGCTAAACCACGCGAGATTTGTACGAAATGTTTTGAAGGACTCGTAAGCAACATTTTACCGGGTGATAAAATGCTGCATTTCGCATATTTCATTTGTATTTTTATTTTAATAC